AGCTAGCCTTCTGTTTCTTTACTTTAGAGCTAGCCTTCTGTTTCTTTTCACTTCAGCGACTTCGATCAGGCTGTTAGAGCTGGTCTCTTAGACTCACGTGGGTTAAAGAATCGAATCCTGGCTCTGAATCAGGACTCGCGAGTCCTGAGGTCGCAGACCTCACAGGGGTCTCAACAGACTGGTTCCTCCATCCTCATACATCCTACGGGTTATTCAGGTGCAGCCAGACGGACTCGGGTGAACCGGCTCACATCAGGTACTGACCCAGATGGACCTGAGTTCTCAAAGTGAACTCTGCTAGTCGATCTCTATTTTGTTTACAGGAGAACGTGTCTGTTGCTCCTGCTGCCTCCACCTCGTGGTCCCTCCACCTCGCGTCCCTCCACCTCGTGGTCCCTCCACCTAGTGTCCCTCCACCTAGTGTCCCTCCACCTCGCGTCCCTCCACCTCGTGTCGCTCCACCCGCCCAAGTCTGAACGTCTCTCTGCTCTTTTCCTTCACGATGTGAATTATTATAAATTTGACGTTTGACCTTTTCTCAGAGGAGAGGAATAAAAGTAACAATGAGTCTGTCTGCTGCAGGTAACATACTGCCGACTGATTTTCACTCTGAACAGCCTCACTTTATTAAAGCAGCTGATTTTATTTTGTTAACTTACAGGAAACTGACTGATCTGTCTTTGCGTGACTTGACGGATCATTTTTTACTGACTAAAACGACCAGATTTTTTTTTAATCTTCATATTTTAGTGACCACTCAGTTTTTTTTTTTCACAGTTTAAAGAAATTTAACGTTCATTTTAGTTTAATTTCAAAATCAGTTTTCTTTCAAGTATCGTGTCCTTTATGCAGTGAAATAAAAAGAAGTTTAAAAACATCTTTAAAATTGTGTTAATGTAAATATGTGCGAAAAACACAGGATTTTTTTAAATTGTTTTTCTACTTTTCTACAATTTATGAACTTTATTAATAAACTTTATAGTGCATCAGATAAAAGTGAAATGGTGGCCATCTTTAATAGTTAAATATAAATAATTCTGTAGTTATTCATGAACATAAAATGTTTGCGAAATTGGCTGAACGTGAAGAAAAGTTAGCAAATGTATTAAAATAAATAAAGCACAGTAAATTGTTTAACTCGTTAATAAATGCTTATTGATCGTTTATGTGTTTACAATTTACATATAACGAGTCAAGGTTTTAATCCTTCATGTGCTCAGTTTTATTTTGGCTTCAGTTTCAAATAAAATGTTTTATTTCTTCATGAACTTGTTCTTTATTTCTTTATTCAACATAAATAGTTCTTGACTTGTGTTCCCGGGCCTCGGTGCTGAAGCATCTGTCCGGTTCTGGTTCTGCGGTCCACAGCTGTGGTGTCAGTGAAGCGTCCAACCAGAACTTCATTAATTATTATTATTGATCATGTATTGATTGGGGCTGCGTTATCTTGATGGTCAGTGCTGCGGTCCTGCAATCCTGAGGTTGCGGGTTCAAGCCCAGTTTGTGTCAGGAAGAACATCCAACGTAAAACAAATGGTCAAATCCTTGATGACCCCTGAAGAACAGAGCAGCCGAAAAAGTCTCTATTGATAATTTATTAATTATAGATGAACTCTGACCTCAGTGAGTCCGACGGAGCCTCGATCTGAAGAGGTTTTATTTTACCGTACGGTTTGTACCCTCTGGAGACGTCTGCAGGCTGTGTGCTATTTTAGCTGTTTATGAATCAAAACATTCGGCTGATTGTAACTTTAACACGTTTCAAAATATTTAACTTTATTAATATTGTTAGGATAATAAGTTCTTTAATTAAAATGATAAAACTTGAGTATAATTTTCGTGTAAGGAGCAGCGAGTCCGTTCCCATCAAGCCCACACACAACTTAAAGTTTTACATCTTCTGCTCTACAAACATGAGATGCGTTTAATTAACAGGAGGCTGTTTCACGGCTACTAGCATGAGACACGTTGCAGCTTCCTGAGGAATATAAGGCAATCATCCAGAGGAGACAAAGTGGAGCAGGTGTGTTCTTCCCTGATAGGTGCTGCCCACTCCTGACGAGGACACGTGGTGCCAAGAGACCCCACGAAGAAAGGACGGGCTTAAACCGCAGAAACTTTCCAGCTTCAGACACATTTTCATGTACGTCTTTGTGTAAAGCTAAGCTAGTCACACTTTCTGGGACGTCACCAGTACTCGCTTATGAGCGGTGAGTTTTCTGAGCAAAAAGATTCATGAATTTAAAATTCATTCAACCTTCATTTCTACAGGTGAGTCCCATGGAGCCTCGTGGACTCATTTGCACGAGACCTGATTTTAAGAGTGAAGAACAGTGGACAGTCATAAAATAAAGCATACAAATTGAGAAGAACAAATGAAAGAAAATGGCATTAAAAAATGAAATAAAACAGATTATAAGTCGATGTAGAAACTAAAAACAGGAACATCTGCAGGAACTTCACAGATGTTTGAAGCCACTTAGAGAGGTCAAAGGTCGAGAGCTTCAAATCTTTTTACAAGATGTTCCAGGAAACGGGAGCGGAGTAGGAGAAGGTCCTTTTGTCTAGTTCAGTCCTCACTGAGGGAACACTGCAGGTAATGATGTCCTGAGAGCGCACGCTGTAGCTGCACTCACACAGAGACATGTAGGAGGAGATGTATGAAGGCAGCAGACCAGGAAGTGATTTAAAGATGAAAATGTACCAGTGGGAGAGTCTGTGTGAAGTTAATGGTGACCATCAAAAAAAGTTAAGTCTGGTCCTCTGAACGTTAAAAAAAAAAATGTAGAAACGTTTCGTCTCTCATCCTGAGGACTTCCTCAGTCTGAGGTGCTGTATTCAGCTCAGTCTCTTAAATAGCACCTTCTCAGAGTGGATCAACCAGTTTTGCTGCTGACAACCAAAACCAGCTGATCACATGCTCAAGAAGGACCATCAGCCTAACTGGATCATTAGCACCTGATGGCTGTTTACTGTTCACAGAGGGCTGAGTGATACTAGCAATCACAGCATTGTAAGAGGGGGACAGTTGAACCTGGAGGCTCCACCCCTGTTTAATGATGGACGGTTTCTTTTCACAAAGATGGCCTCCTTTACTCCTCTCTCAAACCATCGTTCCTCTCTGTCCAGGATGTGAACATCTTCATCCCTGAAAGAGTGACCTCTGGCCTGGAGATGAGTGTAGACCTCAGAGTCCTGGCCTGATGATGTTGATCTTCTGTGCTGGTCCATCCTTTTGGCCAGTGGCTGTTTAGTTTCCCCGATGTAAGACTGATCACCCTCCTGACACTGAACAACATACACAATATTACTCTGTTTGTGCCGGGGGACTGGATCTTTGGGATGAACCAGTCTTTAATGTATTTTGGGGTTTAAAAGCCACTGGGACGTTATGTTTAGAAAATAAACGTCTCAGTTTCTCTGATACTCCCTCAACATATGGAATGACCACTGGTCTGGGTCTGGGTTCCTCCTTTTCACCTGATGGCTGACTGGAGTCCTGTTTGGGTTTCTTCTTTCAGGAAGGCCCAGTTAGGATATCCACATTGCTCTAGAGCCTGTCTTGTGTAATAAGACAGTGATAACAACAACAACAATAGACATTCACTAATGATTCATACAAATTTAAGTTTTTGTTTGTTTGTTTTACAATTGAAAAACAGTTTGTTATCCACTGTTGTCATCACTCTTTGTGAAAATCCAGGTCTCTCTTGTAAATGATTCATCATGGCTCAATGGGACTAACCTGTATCTGTGTATATATGACAGTGATAGAGAATATATGTATATACACATGT